AAAAAGGGGGGTCGTCTTATAATCAGGGTCGTCTTATATTCGGGCCAATACGGTATTATTATTATAAACTAATAAAATAACTTTTTACTATATTTTATTAATATAAATATCATTATATTATTGATATTATACTTAAATGTAATTACATGCTTTTTAATTACAAATGTTGATTATTATTATTATTATTAAATGACAATTGTAATTAATGTTTTATATAATAGCAATAATAAAACAGAGCGGTTTATAAATTGTTTATAATTATTATTATGAGCTATAATTGTGTATGCATTCTGTTACCAGGTCCGGCTTTGCTCTTGATCTCACCTTGCTGTCATGAAGTGACTGGTCTCCAGCAGACTGGATGCTGTGAGGTCAGGCTGAACTCCAGCCGTCTGCTACATGAAGCTGCAGAACATAAGCCGTTTCAGGGTCCGTTTCGCCTCCTAAATTAAAATGATGCAAATCAGTCTGGGCAGGTTAGGAGAGCCTGATCCTGGATCAGTACCCCTGCAATGAGATTAATGTGTGATACAGATCCAGGTCCTCGAGGGAGGCCGTCCTGATAGCTGCATCAAGTTGGCTCGGGGCTCCGCAGATGACTCCTAATGCAGCAAACATCAGCATGGATCTCTGATTCTTCCACTTGGCTCAGTCAAGGCAAAAATCACTCAAATCTCCTTAGGTCTGTTTGAATCACATTAGGGATTGCTGACTCAGTGGGATTTGGTTTCAGATCTGTTCCACTCCTTCAGTCGGGTAGCCTTCATTTATAAATTACACCATGATTAGTAATGGACTACAGATTTTGATCTCGATCAACAGGGCTTCCCAGGTGACCACCTTTGCAGTTGCTGCTGTGGAGGTTTGAAAGTCTCCTATGCTCTGAAAGACAGAGAGAAAAAAAAAGTTATTTTTCCGAACTTTTGACTGGTTGTGTATTTTTCTATTGGTAAAACTTCTTGAGCATCATTATCTGTCTCCCAGTATCGGTTTTGAATCCAGTGCTTAGAAGCAGGCGTGAAAGTGTCATTGTTTTGTGTGTAAATTGCGTCTTTAAAAATGCATGAATGAGAGCAGATATTGGCAAATCTGCCTGCCGATCCTGCGGGATTCGTGGTGAAAGCCCTTGGAGAGTCATCCCGTCAGGCGAATGCTCATTTCCTGCATGTCTCCCTGATGACATTATTTCAGTTCGACAGCAGAGAGGTGTGAAGACCACAGCGGCCCCTCAGGCCCCTCAAACCAGACGCATCACAATTACACCACCTGCACACGTGTGACAGGCTCACAGTACCCGCTGGCTCCTCACCACTATTATGACTCTGCCCTATAAGTACAACACAATCCACCAGGATAGAAATGTCTGCACCGCATATTTGGGTTTTAGAGTGGTGAAATGTAAAAAATGGATTCCGGTGCATGTGTACGAAATTTAAAATATGTAAACTGCAGATAGAGGATGCTGAAATGGGGACCGGGAGCACAAACAAATGCAAGAGATGCAAAGTCCACAAAAAGCATACTGTACATTATTGTACATACAGTATGTTTGTGATGGTTATGTGTGTGTGTGTTTGTATGAGCATGCATTATGATACCAATGTATTTGACTTTTTAAAAATGTATGCCATTTTATTTTGTTCATTATTTTTATTACATTTAATTAATTTTATATTTAAGCATTATTATTATTATTATTATTATACCAATGTATTTTATCACTGTTTGTTTACAACATATTTTTTGTGCATTATTATTATTATTATTATTATTATTATTATTGCAATATCAGCTTTGACATGTTCATAATGTGTTTTGATGGAATATAGACCAGTGGCAGACTTGTTGAATGATCTGGAAATAAAAAAGCCACTTTTTGTGAAGCAGCTTTGGGAAAAAAGTATTTGCTGAATGACTTCACAAAAGAAACGTCATCCATAATTTAAGAAAATAAGGCTTTGTCCTTTTTTGTTCCCTCTGGTTTCTTTCTCTTTGCGTCACTGCAGGCCCATCTGCCCCTCGCCATGTCATCTTCTCACGCTGAGTCAAAGTGTGCTTCACGAGCCACCAAAATAGCTTTCTTTCGTATGGTGTGAGGGTTTGAAACCCTCTGCTCATGTCTATGCTCATCTGCTGGCAACCTGGCTTACATAACTGTCCCTCACGCTCCCAAGACATTGGGAAAGACAAACGCCTGTCCTACTTTAAAAGAGCAGCGCGGCAGTTTGAACGCGGCTCCCTCTCGTCCCCTCGTCTCTCTGGCCCTGCAGCCCAATTTGCATATTCGTCCTAAATAATGTGTGAGATTAGAATCAGCACATTCCAATTGAGAGGATGTTGAATATGGTATGCCAGGCAGGAATGTGCATGTTTCCAGGGAGTTCATGAAATCTGCATCTGTGGATTCTTTGTAGATAATGCATTAATTTTAAGTCTACGTAATAATGCATTAATTTTAATAATAATAAATGTTACGTTAACTCTTACAACCATATTGACAGCTGCTTTAAAGTAAAATAAAAATTATTTAAAAATATATTTTTTCATATTAATGCATTAAATATTGATAGCTACTTTTATTATTAATATTTTTTGTTGTATGTTAAAGCAATTAAAATAACAAAATACTTTACATATTTGAAGCTATTTTATTTTAAAGTATTTCAGTTTTATTTATTAATTCCAAATTAAACAAAAACTAAAATTGGCTGTCAATATGCAGTGTGTAATTGGTATAATTACTTAAAAAAATTATGAAATCTATTGTTGTTTTTATTTTAAAATGATCTGTCAATATGTAATGCATTTATAATCTCACAAATTCTATCATTTAAGCGGGTAGAACACAAGTCATCAGGGCAGTTATTTGAGATTTGACTTACTAGTCATATGGAGTGCAGCGTCCTGGAGATGTTGTCCGACAGGAGTTCCGCTCCGACTCTGCTGGGGTGCAGGCCATCATTACATATTGAAAGCTATTTTATTTTTTGTAAAGCGTATCTGAGATTAAATACAATTATGAAATAAAATCTCACAAATGAATTACATATTGACAGATACTTTTAAAACATTTCATAATTGTCTATTATTAATAATAATAATAATAATGACACTACTAATTGCACACTAATTGCACATTGTATATTGACAGCTAATTAATTTTAAAGTAATACATCCAATTGAAATACTTTAAAATACAAATGAAATACATATTTGAAATACCATCAGACTTATGCATTGCATATGACATCTATTTTATTATAAAATTTAAAATGTTTGTGCATAAGTGATCACACAATATAATATAATATATATATATATATTTATTATTATTATTATTATTATTTATTTTTTTTTCTTATACCTGAAATAAGGTTGCTGCATTTTTATTTATTTTTTTTATAGCAGAGGGTTGATAAATGCTTTGCCCAACGGCAGACATCAGGGGCCAGTAATGTTTGGAGCACCTGTGCTGGAGGGCCCTGTATTTACTGACGCTGACGGCTCAGACTATGGAATGTTGTGTAAACACTGGAAAGAAACCGGGGGATCCCTAAAACCTGAGGGTTAAGACTGTCCTCAGGCTGCCAACACTTCAGATCTCAGCTTGTTTGAGCTTGAAAATATACAAGGCCATGAATTTTTCTTTTTCATTTTGCCCTTGTTTAAGTCTTTGAAATCCAGAAATTTCTATCTTTGTGGTTGGTTTTCACACTCACTAGATCCATAAGTCCATAAGTGCAAAATCTAAGTTTTATTCAACAGGAATCCATGTGCATAATTCTTGCCATGGATTATTTATATATCTTATTATATATATATATATATATATATATATATATATATATTTTTATATAATTATATACAGGATTATTTGATGAATAAAAAGTTAAAAATAAGAGCATTTATTTAAAATAGAAATCTTTTCTAACAATATACACTACCGTTCAAAAGTT